TTGTGGGTGAAGCATTCAGCCGGTCTATCTATTATCCACCACATTATTTGCCCATCTCCTTTTCTAGACCATATTTTTTACTGTTCAATATATTTTATGTTAAGTTCCTACTGGTACTATTTTGCAGGCTACTACACACCATGCTTCTTTCCCTTTCCCTCCCACTCCCAAGTTTTGCTTTTTCAGGGATAGTGATGTTCAATGATTTATAGGTGTAGAGGTTTGTTTCAGGAGAATATTAGTTTTAAAGATGATTTTTTTTGTGTGTCAAAGAGCAACTTAAGAGAATTTAAATCAATGCAGAATTTCCAAATCCCAATAATATGTGTTATATTGTTGTTGTTCAGTTGTGTTTAACTCTTCCTAACCCCATGGACCACAGCACTCCAATGCTGTCCATGGGGTTTTCTTGGCAAAGATATTGGAATGGTTTGCCATTTCCTTCTCCAGTGATGTTCTATATTACAAGCTACCAAATGACTATTACTATATTAGTGATTCTAAAGGTGTTTAAAAACACTCTGATACCTCATTGTATCTTGGAGGTAAAAAGGAGCTAGGTGGAGTAATGGGTAGAGAGTTGGATTTGATGTGAGGAAGACCTGAATTTGAATCTTGTATCAGAAACTATGTCTGGGGTTAAGTCACTTGACCTCTATTTGCCTTAATATCCTCATCTGTAAAATGAGGATAATAATACCATCTACTTCCCAGGATTGTTGTGAGAACATATGAAATAATATTTGTAAAATGCTTTGCAAACTTTAAGGCATTGTATAAATATTATTATCATCATCATCAAGATTATTAGAGATTACTCTGTTTTCTTTTAGACTATGTTTATGGAGTACAAATTTTGGCAGTACCAACCAAACTGACCAAGCTTTAAATATGAGCCTCATGGTGACCAATTTTATTTTATTTTATTTTATTGGAGACACCATTTATTTTATTTAGTATTTTATTTTCCCCCAATTACATGTAAAAACTATTTTCAACATTTGTTTTTTAAAATTGAATTCCAAATTCTTTGCCTCTCTCCTTACCTCCCGCCTCATTGAGAAGGCAAGCAATTTGATATAGGTTATACATGTATAGTCATGTAAAGCATATTTTCATATTAGTCATGTAAAAGAAAACATAAACCAAAATAAAAACCTAAGAAAAAATAAAGTAAAAAAAATATGCTTCAGTCTGTATTGGGACTCCATCAATTCTTCCTCTGGGAATGGATAGCATTTTTCATCATCAGTCCTTCAGAGTTGTCTTGGACTGCTGTGTTGCTTATATTGCTGATAACTATATTGCTGAGAATAGCTAAGTCATTCACAGTTGATCACTTTGCAATTCTGCTGTTACTGTGTACAATGTTCTCCTGGTTCTACTCATTTCACTTTGTATCGGTTCATGTGAGTCTTTCCAGGATTATCTGAGAGCATCTAGTTCATAATTTCTTATAACACAATAGTATTCCATCACAGTCGTATGCCCCAATTTGTTCAGCCATTCCCCAGTTAATAGGCATTCCCTCATTTTCCAATTCTTTGCCACCAGAAAAGAGCTATTATAAATATTTTTGTAGATATAGACCCTTTTCCTTTTTTTTAACTCTCTTTTGGGATAAAGACCTAGTAGTGGTATTGCTTGGTCAAAGGATATGCATTTATAGGCCTTTGGGCATAGTTCCAAATTGTTTTATATAATGGTTGAATCAGTTCACAATTCTAACAGTGCATTAGTGTCTCAATTTTCTCATATCCCCTCCAACATTTGTCATTTTCCTTTTCTGTCCTATTAGCCAATCTAATAGGTATGACATAGTGCCTCAGAATTGTTTTAATTTGCATTTCTCCAATCAATAGTGATTTAGAATATTTTTTCCTATGCCTATAGATAGCTTTGATTTCCTCATCTGAAAATTGTTCATATTTTTTGATCATTTATCAATTGGGGAATGGCTCATGTTTATGCATTTACTTATTTCTCTCTATATAAGAGAGATGAGGCCTTTATCAGAGAAACTTGCTTCAAAATTTTTTCACAATTATGCTTGCTAGCTATATTTTCCCCCTCATCCTCCCTTCTATGAGCACTCCCCTTCTCTTTCTCATGGGGGAAGGTAGATTTCGACGCCCAATTGAGTGTGTGTGTTATTCCCTGTTGGAGCCAATTCTGATGAGAGTATCATTCAAGTGTTCCCTCACCACCTCCTCCATGTTCCTCTTCACTGTAAAAGCTCTTTCTTGCCTCTTTTATGTATAATTTATCCCATTCTACCTCCCCCTTTTCTTTTCTTCTTCTTTCTTACCCCCCTAATTTTTTTTTTTAGATATTATCCCATCATATTCAACTCATACTTTGGCACTCTATCTGCCTATACTCCTTCTAACTGTTCTGATAATGAGAAAGTTCTTATGCGTTACAAATATCATCTTCCCTTGTAGGAATGTCAAGAGTTTAACCTTATTAAGTCCCTTATGCTTTCCCTTTCCTGTTTACCTTTTCATGCTCCTCTTGAGCCTTATATTTGAAAGTCAAATTTTCTATTCAGCTCTGGTTTCACCAGGAATGCTTGAAAGACCTCTGAATGTCCATTTTTTCCCCTGAAGAAGTATGTCTGAATGTCACTGAATGTCCATTTTTTCCCCTGAAGAAGTATACTCAGGTTTGCTGGGTAGGTGGTTCTTGGTTGTAATCCTAGCTCCTTTGCCCTCTGGACTATCATAGAAGCTGCTAAATCAGGGATGGGAAATCTGTGGCCTTGAGGCCAAAGATGGCTTTCTTTGTCCTCAAGTGAGGCCCTTTGACTGAATCCAAACTTTACAGAACAAATTTGTTAAAAGCTGGATTCAATCAAAAGGCTGCACTCAAGGACCTAGAAGGCCACATATGGCCTTGAGGCTACAGGTTCTCCATTCCATAAACATTATGTTGTTCTGACTGTGGCTCCACAATACTTGAATTGTTTCTTTCTGGATGCTTGCAATACTTTCTTTTTGACCTGGAAGCTCTGGAATTTGGCTATAATATTCCTGGGAGTTTTCATTTTGAGATCTCTTTCAGGAAATGATTTTCAGGCAATGGTGGAATTTTTAAATTTCTATTTTACCCTTAGGTTCTAGAATATCAAGACAGCTTTCCTTGATAATTTCTTGAAAGATGATGTCTAGGCTCTTTTTTTCGGATCTTAGTTTTCAGGAAGTCCAATAATTTTAAAATTATCTGTCCTGGATCTATTTTCCAGGTCAGTTGTTTTTCCAATGATATATTTCACATTGTCTTCTATTTTTTCATTTTTTGGGGGTTTTGTTTTATTGTTTCATTGTTTTATTTGTTTTATTGTTTCTTGATGTCTTATAGAGTCATTACTTGCTGAATTCTGATTTTTAAGGAATTATTTTCTTCAGTGAGCTTTTGTAGTGCCTTTTCCATTTGGCCAATTCTGCTTTTTAAAAGGTGAATTTTTGTGCCTCTTTTATCATTTAGCCTATTCTGTTTTTTTAAGGTATTATTTCCTTCAGTATTTTTTGTGTGCTTCCTTTACCAAACTCTTTTTTTTAATGATTTTCTTGCATCATTCTTATTTCTCTTCCCATTTTTTCCTCCACCTCTCTTACTTGATTTTTAAAATCCTTTTTAAGCTCTTCTGTGGACTGAGACCAATTCATATTTTTCTCTAAGGCTTTGGATGTAGGAGTTTTGACTTTGTTTTCTTCTTCTGAATATGTGTTTTCATCTTCCTTGTCACCATAGTAACTGTCTATAGTCAGAATTTTTTTTCCATTGTTTGTTCATTTTCCAGCCTATTTTTTGACTTTTGACTCTTTGGTAAAGTGTAGCTCTGCTTCCAGGGTGGAGGATACACTTACCCAAGCTTCAGGGGTTTGTAAAGCACCTGTAAGTTTTCAGTTCTTCCAAGGTGGTATGATCTAAGGAGAGGTGTTTACTGCTCTCCTGGCCTGTACTCTGGTCTGCAAGTACTCTTCCCTGCTATGGAACTGGGAAAAGGGTCTCTGCTCCACTGAGGCTACTAGCTCTGTTGTGCTAGTGCTCTCCTCACCCTGGGATTATCTCCCAAGACTGTGACCCAGATCTGAGTAGGGGCAAAGCAACACAGTCCTGCTCCCAGTGCCACTACAGAGGTCTTGTAAACTCCTTCTGATCTCTTACTGTCTGTGGGTTGAGAGCTTCAGAAGCAGCTGCTACCACTGCTGATGGAGTCACTCCCAAGGCCTGCTCCTGGTTTGCTGGGACCTGATCTGCACTGGTGAAACCTGCACTGCACTGCACTCCACTCTCAATCCAATGCGATGAAGCTTGCCTGCCAACCTTCTAAGTGGTCTTGGGCTGGAAAATTGTTTCACTCCATCCTTTTGTGGATTCTGCCACATGAGAATTTATTTTAGGGCATTATTTAAAGGTGTTCAGAGGTGTTTGGAAGAGAGCTCAGCCAAGTTCCTACCTTTTCTTTATCATCTTGGCTCCACCCAAACTAATTTTAGTCAGAGCAAATCATTAGGGCAGCTTAAATGTTTGATCTACAACACTCCTGACCACTGTCTGAACCAAATTTAAAAGTAATTGGAAAATATTTAATGAAATAAATAAAAATGCAATAAAACACAGATAATAATAATAATATGTGGCTTACTAAATCAATACATGGCCCTCAGAATCTTTATATAAGGTTTAGTGTCCCTCCGCTCCCCAATTTCTATTTGTATATGCCACTGAATTGCATATACCAAAGAATTGTCATTTGCTTTAGTGGAGTGAATACCCATCTGGAACAAATCACAGATCTTTGATTCCACTTACAAATCAAAATAATTGTTAAGTGCTTACTATGTGCCTGGAATTCTATGTGGTTCTGAGGATACAAAGACTATAATTCATACTTTTAAAACAAATAACTTGCTCTGATTTGTTCTATGTTATTTTAAATGTCATTTCCCCCCTACAAATTAACATTGGTGAATACTTGTTAAATTTTTCATCAGTGTGTCCTGGAACATATACTGCTGAAGTTCCTCTTCATCTGAAGGATGATCCTGTTTGCTACCGATTGTTAACACTAACAGGAACTGTGAGAGCACCCAAGTTAACTTTTGACCCTCCATTTGTGTTTTTGACTCCTGTTCCTTTGGGTGTGAAAACTGAGGTGGATATCAACATTATTCCCCAAAACTATTTCAGGTAAATATTTACTTAAAATGAATTTCCTGTGTAGGCTCCCTTCTTGTTCTGTCCTACTGATGTCTGTTATGGCTCATTTCTATAGTAGGGAAGAGTAACTAGAAAATTCATTAGTTGTGTTTTTGTATGGAAAATACAAATACAAATGAAGTTGTAAAGAGCTGGTACACACAATTTAGTATATTGTATTGTGTAGAAACACTGGATATTCTTGAATTTCAGATGTAAAATCCAAGTTTTGTTTAATTCAAATACATGCATAAAAAGCAAATTGCTTTAAATACTAGGTGGTTATAATCAGTCCTGGGAAAAGTTCAATCAATTCAGTAAACATCTACTAATTATTTACTATGTGTCAGGCACTGTGCTAATCATTGGGAGCACAAATAAGAAAGACAACCTTTTCCACATCAAGAATGTAATTCATAAAAGTTAAAAATTAGTTTCACTTATACCGTACCAAGTCAGAATAACTAAGCTATTTGGAAAGAAAACAGTACCTATAGAAGGGTAAGCTATAGTTTTAAGAGTTCAGGTCCATAGAGTACCTTGAATCTCTGGCAGTCATCTCTTAAGGTACCTGGTGTATGAGTCTGAGTTCGGAGGTGGGGTGGGTTGGTGGCCCAGAGATTATTATGTGATTACATGATTTCATAAGGCTATAGGGGTCATCTCTAGTCATCCTGATCTATATCTTGGCAATGGACCCAGATGGCTCTGGAGGAGAAAGTGAGACTGGTGACCTTGCTCCATCCTCCCTCACTTAAATCCAATTCCCTTGCAAGTCATAGCATCATCTTCCTGATGCCATGGTCTTCTTTGAGAATGAAGGACAAACAACAAAATCAAGGCTATAGTAGCAGTATTATTTTAACAACATAAATATTTTGTTGATGGTGATAATAAAAAGGTAGCAACCTTTTCTAAAATAATTAGTGTATTAATTAGATATTTTTCTTTACTCATGTTGATTTCCAAGTATTAAAATATTACTGAAATTTTTATATCCATGGCTTATACATTTTTAAATGACCGTGAGAGTGTTAAGACATAGAGAAGATAGGCAATCTATAGGAAACTAAAACTTGTGATTTTTGTTTTTTAAAAAACATCTTCATTTGCAAGGGCTAGTTGAAAATTTTCCAAGGTTAATTAGCATCAATGTTGAAAACATTTCAAATTTGTCCAGGAACTTTTGCTTGAATCATTAACTTCTTATAAAGAGTTCTAAAACATACTCATGGGGCAGACAAGCCAGCCCGGTATGATATCATTAGGGAAACAGGAGACAGCTTGGCCAGGAGAACCAAATCATACATACATTTAGATACAAAAAATATGCTGAGTAAATACAATGAAGGAATCAGAAACAGCTTCATGGTCAAAATGGCCACCCCCTTCCTTGAGACCCAGATGGCCTGATTTCAAGAGTCTTGGGAATAGCAGTTCTCCCTCTCCCTCCCCTCTCTCATGAGTAGTCCTGCTTCTAGCCTGGGCGTCATAGCCATCCCTGAGAGTGATTTCACTGTGAAGGAGCACACTTTCCTCACCTCCACCACCACTGATTGTTGACCAACTGTCACCAACTGGCATTGGGTCCAAGAGAGTCCTAAGAATGGCAGCATTCCCACATTTAATAAGTCCTGCTTTCAGCCAGTCCTCACAGCCCATCATCCTGGAAAACAACTGTATATGGAGATGTGGCCTGGCACTTGCTTCTGTGGATACAGTAGCCTGAAGAACCTAGAAAAGAAAGCTCAGGCTACTAAAGACTAAGCTTGGAACTGTAAGTTAGTTCAATGTCAGAAATTGATAGTTTTATCAGTGGAATGATATGAAACATGATATATTGCTATCTTCTTTGGTGCTGAACCTTGAGGATCATGGAATCTTTACAACTGAATTCCAATTGAATCTCTCTATATGTGAGCTCCTTGAAAGTAGGTTCTGTTTTAATTTTCTGTGGGCATCTGTAGCACTTAGCATAATGCTTAGCACATAGTAGGTTATGCTTTTTTCTTTCCTTCCTTCTTTTCTTCTTTCCTTCCTTTTTTCCTTCCTAACTTTATTTCATTTATTTATTCACAGTTACATAAATACATAAACAATGTGAGTAACATAAACTAAGGTTTTAGAAGTAGAAATATTGTTCGTTGTCCCAATTAAAATATTAAAAAATACATATTTAACAAGAGTACTGTTTAGGCTAATGTTATAGTTATAATTAGGCTAATCTTAAAATGGCTGGCTTCTTTTTTGATGTACAGAGAAGTTTTAGTCTAAGTAGATTTAGAATAATGACTTTGCTTATTTATAGGAGGTTATTACAATCCTACTATAATAAATCCATAGAAAATAATATTGATAACATTTTGGTAACTATTTTGTTGATATGATTGTATAAAACAGATTGGTAAGTGTATAGAGATCTAATATTTAGTTCTTTTGAACTAACAGTTATGATTCATTTGAAAACAGGAAATCAGCAGTATATGCCCGAGTTCCAACAATTAAGCTTTATGATGGTGTTATGATAGATGTCCTTTCTGTGGATTTTCCAAATGGCAAATATATTGAAGTCTCACCAGATGGAATAAATACAGGACTAATTTCTCACATCAGTTTTAAATCAATGAAGCCAGTGTCTTTTTCGGCTGATGTGCTATTTTTCGATGAAGAAAATAATTGGTAAGGTGTTTAAATATAGATTATTTGGGTGCTTCTGTGTTCATTAAAGGGAAAGAATGATCATTAATTTATGTTCTAAAGTATTTAGTATAAATTTCCTAACAATATCACATTTAATATTATAAGATAAAGCTTAAAATGTCACTGCTTTCAGGATCAATATTTAAATAATCTCTAAGTTGTGTTTCCTGCTAATTATTTTTAAATCATTGATAGATTATAAAAGAAATTATGAATCTTTGATATGGCAAAAAGAAAAAGAAAACATTTTAATTTGTAATATGTTTCTTTCACCTTGTATTTCATGTGTCTAAGTCTGTTGAACTTCTTCATTCAATTAATCACTCAATCAATAAGCATTTCTTGAGTATCTACCACATATCAGGCATTGTGATAAGCATCATGGATACAAATATAAAAAGAATGGTTTCATGAGTGCATATACATTTTTATCTCTCTCTATGTATATATGTATATACACATATGTAAGTATATACATACATGTATATACACAATAATATAAAAATAAATACAAGATAATTTTGTGGTGGGAGTCTCTAGAAATTGGAGAGACCTGGAAGAGTTTTGTTCAGAAGGCTTTTGAGTTGCACTTTGAAGAAAAGGTAGAAATAATTAGTGAGTACATTCCAGGCTAATGCAATGGCATGGAGTATTGGGAGACAGAATATTATGTGTAAGAAATAGAAAGAAGGACAGTTTGGCTGGACCATAAAGTGTGTGAAGGGAAATAATACATAAGCTTGTAAAGGTAGGTTGGAGTTAGGCTATGAGAGACTAAATGCCAAACACAGGAGTCTGCATTTGAGCCTAAAGGTAATAAGGACCCAATGTAGTTTATTAGGTAGCAGAGTGATCACATCTGTTCTTTAGGAAATTCACCTTGGCTACTGTGTGGAGAATAGATTGGAGACAAGAGAGATTGGAGTTAGGGAGGCCAGTAAGGAATCTATTGTAATTGTCCAGGTAAGAGGTGATGAAAACCTGGAGTAAGGGAGTGGTCCTTTGAGTGGAAAGTAGCAGGTAGATTCAAGAGATGGCTTAGAGGTTGGCAAGTGATTGCATTTGTGGATTGAGAGAGAGTGAGAAGTTGAGGATGACTCCAAGGTTGGGAGCCTCTGTGACTTAGAAGGGTAATTCAGAAGAGAGGGATGAGTTTTTGTGAGAAAATGAGTTTAATTTTAAATGTGTTGAGTTTGAAGTGCCTCTAGGATAGACCTGCAGAACTTGGCAGTAGATAGGGGCCAAAATTAAAATAGGCTAAACTTTTTCAGGCCACAGATAGGTTTTTAGTGGCTCACTTTCCAAGTAAAGGTATAATTAATGATAAAACTATTTTGCAAATAAACCATATTAAAAAGGGAAATTTCAATTAATATCAATTAATTACATTTATTAAGATTTTTATTTATCATGAAATCATATTAATGTTAAAATTATTTTGCTAAACATTACAAATTTTAATACATTTTTCCAGGTTTTCTTACTGTTTACATTTAGTTAATGGTATGTATTACATTTCTTGTCAGCAATCAGTTTATTGTACTCCAGAATCATGTCTGAAATCAATTTCTTTAGAAATCTGAAAACTAACCTTAGTAGCTGCCTCATTTTCTGAGTTTACTTTCTTGAAAAACCACTGTTCCCCACTGAGATTTTTCAACAATTTGGATACTTTAATTAGTTTTTCATTGGTGTCCCATTTGTTTAAGTCAGAATATTTTGATTCAAAATGGTGATAAAGATTGTATTCCTTAGGAAAGGCTGTTACTTCTTGGCAAACAAGGCACAATATTTTATCTCTTGCGTAAACAAATATTTATTTGTCCACTCCAGATTAAACACTATGTTCTGATTCAATCTTCCATTTTTTATCACCCATTTTGCAAAATCACCCCCCAAATTCCAATGTTAGAACCAAAAAATCTCCACAGCAACTGCTCACATGCAACGAAATACTGAACTGAGTGTGCTGCCTTGGAGAGAGCACCTGGCACTCCTGTAACTTGGAGGGCCGCTGCTCAGGGAGGGAGAGGAAGGAGCTCTCGCATTGTTGCCACTCATTTCATAGCGGGCATCAGCTGCGTTAGAACATGATTGCACTCCTTTTGTCCCTAATTCAACACCAGTAACAACTGAAAACACAGTGAAAAGATACAATTCTCACTCCTCTCAGACTAGAGGCAAACTCATGATGGTTGGTTGCCTTGAGTCATGTGACAAACAGGAAAGAGTGCGCAGTGGCAGCTCACTCACCAAGTTACATGACTGACACAATAGGGACTAGAGGAAGGCAGGTTAAGCAGAGAACGGACAAAGCACTTCTTACATCCTTACTTTCTTTTACATCCTCTACATTTTTCGTGGCCTGCCCAAAATCCTTTGGCAGTCCACAAGCGGCCTGTAGGCTGTATGCTGTGCAGACTTGTTCTAGGATATCAATTTAAATCTAATCCAATAGGCAGTTGGTTATATTATATTGAAGCTCCAGAGAGCTACAAGGGTTGGATGTATGGATCTAGAAGGTCTGCATGTAGAGATGATAAGTAAATTCATGGGAACAACTGAGGTCCGAAGAGACAGTGCAAATGAAAAAGAAAAGAAGATTCAGGACAGGGCCTTAGAGCCAGAAGGAATGATGTAAATAATTGTCCAGCAGAGGAATCTGGGGAGGAAGAGCGGACAGAAAAGTAGGATGAAAACCAAGGGAAACTATTGTTATGAAAATCCAGACAGAAGAGAGTAGCCAGAGGAAGGAGGTGGTTGACAGTTTCAAATGCTGTAGAAAAGGTGAAAAAAAAAAAGTTGAAGATTGAGAAGAGGCAATCGGATATGACAATTAAGAGAACATTAGGAGCTTTCAGTTACCAGTTAAGTTCTATGGGTTGAGTAAATCAAGTGGCACAAAATGTAAATGATAGAAATTCCTAATGTCAACTATATAAGGAAGTATGTTGAACTTAGGGTTGGAAATTAAGTAGATCACACCTATGATCATCTCTACAACCTTGATTCCTGTATTCCAGGCATTCTCTTTCTCCCACAAGAATACCTGAGCTCTGACAGATGAACTGTCCCCTTTTGTTGCTTGGAAGTGGGTCACTATGCCACTTCACAACCATCTCCATATGATGCTGTACACAGCATACTATAACCTCTGCCCTTGCCAACCCCACTCCCTCTTTTCAACTTGAGCTCCCTTATATGCCTGGTTTTCTACTGTTAGAGGATGAGCTACTTCAGGGCAGGAACTGTCTTTTGTATTTATCTCTCCAGTACTTGACACAGTGTTTGGCATATAGTAAACCCTTAATAAATAATTTTAAATGCATTCATTCACTCATTCTCATTCATTCATTCATTTATTCATTCTATAAAGAATATCTTGAGCTCTAATGAAGAAAGAAAATAGAGAAATATTAGGTCCAACAAAATCTACTGTTATGCCAGGAATTTAGAATCATGAACCCACAGAATGTTTGAGCTAAATGGGATCTTAGAGACTACACAGTTTAATGTCCCCTTTTTACAGGTTAAAAAAACTGAGACCCAATATGTTTTAGTGGTTTTTCCAAAATGACTTATTCCAAGTCACATTGCTAATAATTATCTGAGCTGGTACTGTAACTGACAGTCTTCTGATTCTCATTACAATGTTCCTGTACTTTATTATGTTTTATTTTTAAAACTTGATTAGTGTTCAACATTTTAGCCATAAAATCCTTCAAAAGCTCTAGGATGAGATTGTAGAGTTTATCTGGTCCAATCCTTAACTGAAAGCTTAGTCTCCTCTCTATGGCATCTCCAATAATTCAGACTTTGCTTAAAAATCTCTAGTGCTGAAGAAATTCACTTCTTGATGAATCAGCCTATCAATTTTCAGGCAGCTTTAATTGTTAGGAAATTCTTCTCCATATTAAGACAAAGTCTATCTTGTAATTTACATTGGTTCTAATGGTGCATGTTGCAGCTATATCAGATAAATCTAATTCCTCTTAAAAACAGTTCTGAAGTGTGTTCTTTATGTTCATTATTGGTTATATATGTGCTGAAAAGTAGACAAATGGCTTTTCCTAAGTGTTTCTTTTTCCTTTCTAGTCCTTGTCACCTTAAAATAACCTGTAGTACTATTACTGTAGTTCCTGATATAAGGAAAATTAAAAAAAGAATAAAAAATTACTGTCATAGAGGCATTTTGAAATTCTGTCATCTCATTTATAGAATTTCAAAATGAAAAACACATTTCATTATTCTTAAATGATTTTTGTCTACTACCAAACAAAATCTATTTAATTACTCAAATGTGACAGATTTTCCCTATTACTTTATGTAGCTGATTTTCAATTTTGTCTTGTTAGGTTAATGCTTAGAAAAATGAATAGACAGTTTTGGAATTAGGTTGTAAGTAAACCAATACTATAAATTTAAAAAGTTTATTATTTTTAAATCATGATGAAGTTACAAAACTTTATGTGTCCGCCATTTTCTAGAGTCACTCTTAATTCACCTTTTAGCCCTCTGATGAATATTTGATTATTGATTAATCCAGTTATGTTTTTCTTTTTTTATATGGAGTTTTGATATTCAGTGCCATGCAACAATGAAAAATTAGAACTGTGAATAAGAAAATTAAGTCCTATTTCTCTAACATTTGTACCTTGTTTTTTCTTGAGATATGAAATTTTACTTTCCACATTGCCTTTTATTAAACAATTCAGTTATGTTTTTTGAAAGTTTGGTATGATATTACAAACTATTTATATGAATGTCTTTTAGAATATTATTTTCTTCTACAGTAAACTGGGATATTCGCTATTTTATCCATATTAGCATTATTTTTTAATATTAGTCAACATGATATGACAGCCAAAAAAGTTGATATGATATTTTAGACTGCCTTAACAAAAGTCTACTCAAGGACTTAGAAGCTCATAGCCTTCTTGTACTCTACTCTGGTCAGATTATGTCTGGAGTAATTTGTT